TTGGAAGATGAAGTCGAAGTGCCGTCTTCCAGCACCTCAAAGGGAGACAAGAAGAGATTTGAAGTGAAAAAGGTGAGGAGAGAAAGAGGAATCCGATTTACTTAGCCAGTGCTGGAGATTTTGTTTTTGTTGCGTAGCCTTTCGGAAATTTGTATTTTTGCTTTGCGACGTCATTTCTCTCTATTGGCTCTCTACTTTTTCCGAAGAGGGTTTCCTAAAATTCTTGATGCTTATGGTTATTCAGCCCTTGTAGGAAAGGGTTATTTAAAGGGCCATTATTATTTCTTTGAATATTTCCTTTCCTTGCCATCTCTATCTAGAACCACATTTGGACGTTGGATTTTGAGGCTGAGTAGGTACCAGTGGCGGAAAGCACTGTTTCCATTTGCAAAGTGTTGTGCAATTGCAGTCCCAACCTTGAAATACCAAGGCTACAGCAGGGAGATAGTTTGTTTCCAGCAGCCATATAGTACAAGATGAAATTTGCCTGGGGTGGAGAGTGTGACTGAAAATTAGCCACTTTTCTTGTGTGGTATTTCCTCCGCAAGGTGATAGTAAGAAACTTGTGCAACATGTAATACTTTGGTGTACATTTACAGGAAATGTATTGATATTATCATAGAGAAAGAGAAATAACTACACTCTCTGATATTTTTAATTATCTGTGCCTGCATAAAATATAATCAGAAATGAAGAAAATAGGTCGCGACAATTGCAGCGCAGAAACTAAATCCTTGGCAATTGGGTGGGAGTCCAGGGGTGGAGGCCCTGATAGGGAGATACAGCGATTGTATGGGGTTCTGGGGCAAATCCCCAGGTTAGGAAGGTTTTTGGTTCACATGGCCATGTTTGTGGATTTCATAGGAATTGCTGGAAAGCCAAGGACTCGATCTCAGAGAGGTGCAGTCACTTCGTTAACATTACCATTACTTTTGTTTATATATTTTGCGATGGAATATAACAAAAGGTTCGGTCATATTAGTATATTTATTATTTAAAGAATGAATACTAATTGCAAGTTTGGATGGCTTTGTGAAACGGCAAAGTTAGTCCTCAAAGAACTATTTCAATGATTAGTTAAACCTTACAGTGACTTTTTCAAGATCAACAAGCCTATTTTTTTATTAGATACAATATTCTCTGAGAATCACCTGTGTGCAGTAGATATGTAGCAATATCAAGTAAAGTCAATAGTATAATTTGTCTCATGCAGCCATATTGTATAAGGAAAACTGCCTGTAATGGATAGGACAGAAAATAAGGCTATTTGTAGGTTTTGCCATCAAATTATGTAATTATCATTCCTTGTTTCAGTTATTTGAGGTGTAAATTGCATGACTGTTGTTCTTTCCATCACAAATGAGATTAAAGGAAAGTATTGGTGAGTGTTTATGAAGTAACTGTACCCCCTTCAGACTAATTCCCTATTATTCCAACCACTCTTGGGAATGCACAAACATTGCTGTATGAACCAAATGCCTTCCAAACCCAGGGCTTCACCCACAGACCCCTGCTCTATCACTGTATTTCCCTTTGGGGCTCTACCCCCAGACCCCATCTAATAACTGTGGATTTACTCTCCACAGGGCATTTGTTGTCACCTATTTTCTTCACATGTAACATTATACTTTGCCAATGTAGGTTATTTGTGGGTATGTTCCATAAGTGTTTCCAGACCAATTGTGTTTATTCATTATTTTGTTAATTTAAGCTTTCACCTCCAAGATAAATATTGATATCCTCACTTTAATGGACTGTAATCATGAGATAGAATGCACTAACATGAATACATTGTTGCTCATTTTAAAAGTGAAGGGTTAAATTGAGAAAACATTTAATAAACTGATGATTTAATAAAATTATCAGTCAATTGGTCTGAGACTCCCTTTGTATGCACATACCTTCATTTCATGTATCAGTGAACAGTTTTTTTATCCATTAAAGGCAAAGTTTATCTTCTACCATATAGCTGTGTGAAACTAAAAGTAAAGAAAGGAAAGGGTTCATTCATTTGAGATTTACACTTGGATAGGTAGGACCTGTTGTAAACATTTACCCAGCAATTTTGGAGAAGTTTGATCACCAATGAAAATTAAGAGTGTCTGTAGATTGTAACTTTAGTCTATGGAAATCAAATATAAGGATGATATTTGCCATACACACACACACACAACACACACACACACACCACACACACACACACACACACACAACACACACACACACACACACAACACACACACACACAACACACACACACACAACACACACACACACAACACACACACACACACACACAACACACACACACACAACACACACACACACACACCACACACACACACACACAACACACACACACACACACACAACACACACACACACAACACACACACACACACACACACCACACACACACACACAACACACACACACACAACACACACACACACACACCACACACACACACACCACACACACACACACCACACACACACAC